ACATCGAGGTGATACCGGACACCGGCGCCGATACTACGGTGATTGGGCTGAAGCACCTCCAGAAACTGGGCCTCACCAAACGTGACCTGGGACCACCGCCGCAGCTGCTGTACTACAATGCGGACGGTTCCCAGATGCCAGACGCTGTGGGCTCCTTTCAAGCAGAGATCACCTACGGCGACAGGTCGTGTTGGTGACGACCCATCCCCTTGGTGCCACCCTCTAGTCGCTGTGGCTAAGACTAACGGTGGAGTGCGGATTACTACCGACTTGTCTAAGCTTAACAGCCAGGTGTCCCGTCCCGCCCACCCTTCACCCACACCTTTTGCAGCTATACGGAGTGTAGATCCGAAGGTACGGCACTTCTCGACGATGGACGCCCTCTGTGGTTACTGGCAGATCCCACTGAAGAAGGAGGATCAGCCACTGACCACTTTCATCACGCCTTACGGACGCTTCCGCTACTGCCGTGGCCCTATGGGATTCGCTGCTACGGGGGACGCCTTCTGTCTCCGTGGTGACATGGCACTTCAAGGCGTGACCAACTGCGTGAAGGTAGTGGACGACGTCCTCCTTCTACGATGAGGACTACCTGACGCATCTTCGCCGCATCGACGAGGTACTGACCAGGTGTAGGACGCACGGCATCACTCTGAATGCCGAGAAGTTCGTCTTGGCCGCACCTGCAGTGTCTTTCTGCGGCTACCGACTCTCAAGGGATGGCATTGCTGCGGACCCGGAGAAAGTTCGCGCCATAGCGGACTTTGCGAAACCTGCCAACCTTACGGATCTCAGGTCTTTCATGGGCCTGGTGAACCAGCTGGCAGAATTTTCCCCTGACGTCTCCGCCGCTGCCGGGCCTCTCCGCCCCCTGATGAGCCCCAAGAGGACGTTCACGTGGACCCCTGACCACGACCTCGCCTTTCATAAGGTGAAGGAGGCCCTGTCAAGTCCACCTATCCTCGCTACTTTCGACCCAGCGCTCCCCACCGTCCTCCAGACAGACGCCTCGCGCCTGTACGGGGTTGGTTACGCCCTTCTCCAGGATCACGGTGGAGGAAAGTACCGGCTCGTACAGTGTGGCTCTCGCTTCCTCACCGATGCTGAGTCTCGCTACGCTACCATCGAGCTGGAGCTGCTGGCAGTGGTATGGGCCTTATCGAAGTGCAAGTTCTACTTGATTGGCCTACAGCACTTCGACCTCATCACAGACCACAGGCCCTTGGTCCCCATTCTTAACCACTATTCGCTGGACGCCATCGAGAATCCCCGCCTCCAGCGCCTGAAGGAGAAGATTTTGGCCTTCGTCTTCACCGCAGCTTGGCGCGCAGGTAAGGAGTTGTGCATCCCGGATGCCCTCTCCCGCTCCCCAGTCAGCCGCCCTACACCTGAAGACGAGATGCTCAGCACCGAGGCCGGTTTCTCCGTCAGCAACATCGTCACCTTGCAGGCCGTACAGTCCCTCGCCAGCACCCAGGCCTCAGTGTCGCCACCTGACAGCGATCTGGCCCTTGAGGAACTACGGACCGCGGCACGCGACGACCCCTCCTACACTCAGCTCTTGGAGAGCGTGAGGACTGGGTTCCCTCACGACCGTTTTGACCTCCACAACGCCCTACGCCCGTATTGGAAGATACGTGAGGACCTCTACGCAGATGGGACCTCGTCCTGTACGGTGCCCGTGTGGTCGTCCCTGCAGCTCTCCGTCGTCGCGTTCTGACCCGCTTACACGACAGCCATCATGGAGCAGAGGCCACCAAGCGCCGCGCAAGGCAGGCTGTGTACTGGCCCGGCATTGACGCGGATATCGTCAATACGGTCCGTGCCTGTGAGCCGTGCCAGATCATGCAGCCCAGTCAACAGCAGGAGCCCCTCTTGTGCGACGACGAACCCACCAGGCCCTTCGAGTCCGTGTCGGCTGATTTCTTCAGCACAGCTGGGAAACATTTCCTAGTTGTCGCCGACCGACTCTCTGGCTGGCCTGTGGTGGTAATCTGTGGCTCGGACACGACGTCCGCGGCCACCATTCGCCACTTCCGGCACCTCTTTCGTGACCTGGGCGTCCCCGTACGTCTGCGGACGGACGGTGGGCCACAGTTCACCAGCCGGGACTTCACAGGATTCCTGGAGCGTTGGGGAGTCCGCCACATCGTGTCAACACCCCACTACCCACAGTCAAACGGCCATGCTGAGGCTGCGGTCAAGACAGTCAAGCACCTCATCCTCAAGGTGGCCCCTTCAGGCAACATAGACTGTGAGGCGTTTGACAAAGGACTCCTGGAGTTACGTAATACTCCCACCCACACAGGGCGCTCCCCTGCCCAGATCCTGTATGGTCACCCTCTCCGCTCTTGCGTTCCTGCACACGCCAAGGCCTTTGCGAAGGAGTGGCAGACCAGAGCCGAGAGCTGCGACCGCCGCGCCGCTTCACGTGCCCAGGACGCCAAGGCTCGGTATGACGACCGTGCCCGCCCTCTTCAGCCACTGGAGATTGGTGCCCTTGCCCGCGTCCAGGACCCGACGACGACACGTTGGGACAAGGTGGGCATAGTGATGGGCGTCGGCCGGTCGCGGGACTACAAGGTCAGGATGCCGAGTGGCCGCGTCTGGTGGAGGAACCGCCGCTTCCTCCGGCCAGTCCCACCCCCTGCTGCTGGCCCCCTGACCGAAGACGAGTCACCTACACCTCACGAGGATCCGCCCCACAGTGCACCTCGACGCTCGGAGCGACTTAGGACTAAGAAGTCCGCTCAAGACAAAGACTATGAGCGTGAGGGGGGAGGGAGATGTAGGTTATGTATATAAGCTACTGTGCCAAGTAGCAACCCTGTACATAAGCTACTGTGCCGAGTAGCATTTATATATATTATCACGTGGCAACACTGCACGTGTTATGTGGCAACATTGCCCCGAGGCTGCCATATGGCAAGGCGCCTCAGTCTGACTGTGTGAGCCGCGCATGGCACACAGCGTCACCACTTGTATTTCTCTCATCCACAATAAACGAACTCAGTGTTACTCAGTGTTTCCCTAGCCATCACTGCATTCTTCAGGGCACACTAGTAACCTTCATAAGGAGCTGAAATATATCTACAATGTTGCACTTATATGGAGCAGTGATCCTCCCCACCCTGCTATATGGCAGTGAGACATGGGTCACATACAGGAGGCAACTCAATTCACTTGAAAACGTTCACCAACGTAGTCTACGTACCATCCTCCGAGTTCGCTGGAAAGACAAGAGAAAAATGCCAATATTCTCTCTGACATCAACTGAAGGAGCATCGAGGCTGCCATTATCCTTGAACAACTACGCTGGGCTGGCCATGCTACTTGCATGGACGACAGTAGACTGCCAAAGCTTCTACTTTACAGTCACCTAAAGAATCGTAAACGTAACGCTGGAGGGCAACTGAAACCATATAAGGATAGTATTAAGACACACCTGAAAAAGTGCCAAATCAACCCCTGTACGTGGGAGACGATATCTCCACACCATAACGCTTGGAGGAGCACCACACAAGAAGGTGTCGATACTTTCGAGTTAGCCCGCCTGCATACCGAGGCAGACAAGCGCCAACGCTCCCTTCCTTTAAATCATCTCTTAAAAAATATCTATTGTGTAAGTATTTATATTTCTTGTAATACCTACTATATTTACAGTACCTGCTTTTATTGTACAATCAAAACCGTTTTATCGGAAATTATCATGTAAATAGATAAGAAATTACCATTGCAATAAACATAATTGCCAATTAGACATAATCCTGACAGCTCTGTCCTCTTATTCAACCTTAATACTGTACAACCCATGTTGTACTGCTCCCCCATTATACTTATGTTTTTCAATTCTACTGTAATTTATGTATATACATATAATATAAATACAAAAAATAAACTAAAAAATAAAATAATAAATAAATAATATAAATAACTATTGAAGTGAATAACCGTGGTAACATTATGAGATGTTCTTATTACCAGCATGCTATTGTACTATTCCAGATGTGACTAAATGGTGCATAATACTTCCTTGAGAGAAATGTATAATATATATCAGGTGCCTAAAAGAGAGCTCAGGTTCTCAACTGGCTCATCCATGTTAATATTGTTATTATTATCCACCCTGTATCTGTGTTTTTCTGGCTATCTAAACGGTATCAATTCAATTCAACGCCGGAAAGGCGCTATTGTCGCCCCTCCTACACTAGATGTAGATCTCCACATGTGCCACATCTGTGAACGACCCTGTCGGTTCCGTATCAGCCTCTTTATTCACCTAAGAACTCAACAACGTAGGTGACATCCTTTAAAAGCTCATATCATTGTATCAGAGCGAGATGATCGTCATACTCGATTCCCAGTGACAGCAAAGTAGTAGTAGTAGTGCGTAATAATAATAATAATAATAATAATAATAATAATAATAATAATAATAATAATAATAATAATAATAATAATAATAATAATAATAATAATAATAATAATAATAATAATAATAATAATAATATAATAACGATTTATTGAAAGAGCATGGCAACCAAAAGGCTGAAAATATACAGTTACATAATTGAGGAATGGGTTACTTTATTGACAAATAATATACATGTATCATAGGTGATGCAAATATGATGAATAATAACTAGGTGGGAGAAGGTTATACTACAGGGAATTTCAGTATAGTGACAGTGCAAAATGGTAAGATTGGCCGGGAACGAATACATTGGTTGATTACAAGTTGTTGATAATTTTTACAATGGTTGGGACTGGGGTGTTTTTATAGCGATCAGTACGTGCTCGTATGGGCTGGATGCGATTCATTTGGGGACGAGGGATCTCGGGTGGAAGTAGGAGCCTGTGTCGTTGTATTTTTTATATTTTATTTTGAGTGTGTGAGTGTTTGTGATTGCGATAGTATTTATGTTTTAACGTCACTGTCGGCATCTACCATTTGTTTTCTTCAAAGTGTCAAGATTTTCAATCTTTATTTCCAGTTATATTAGAGAGGCGGCGATGGTAGTGACGTCCCTGGTGTTGTTGGTGGCTGCTGGGGTGTGTGTGGGAGTCGTTCTGTTACCAACGCCTGATGGTAAGTAAACAAAACCACATGATACTGACACCATTACTTCCAGATGTCCTTTCTAGAAGAAGCCCCGTAGCCTTTGTCTCCTGCTCCTGGTTTACCACTGACAATCGGTTTATGGGCGTGTCGGTGGTGGAGGATATTGTTATCACTTTTTGTTTTAATCTCTGTGTCTGTGCACCTCAATTTCCCATGTTTCATCTAAATTATTCTCAAAACTTCTCATTGTATTTGAATTAATTGTGTGTGAGGTAAAGCAGTCTAATTAATTATATAACTACTACCAAAAATCTGGTATTTAATCGGACCCTTTCTTTAAAAAATCGGATTAGTATGTCCTCTGGTTGATGATCCTTTTCACAGTAGAAATATATCCTCACATTAATCACCATCCTTAACTCCGCAAAACAACTTACCGATTTCAACATAATTAGCATCGCGATTTCTTCTATAAACTCGGGTGGATAAATTTAGCTTCTTTAATCTATCTATTCATAAGTCAATTCCATCAGTGTTGGTACTAGAATGGTTACTCATCACTGTAGTCTCAATATATTTTACTGTGCTAAGTATGGACACTACAACCCCCATAATCTTATTCAAGTTGTGGTCTGACTAGCACTGCAAACAAAAACCTAAATACCCTTTATTTCATGATATGTAAATGTTCTTCCTATAAGCCCCACATTCCAGTTTGCTTTAATCATTTATTCTGCAAGAATCTAGAGAGTCGGAGGAACTCGGCTTACAGTCGATTATCATTCTCATATCCCTTTCTACATAAACGGTTTACATTTTTTTTAATTTCTCATCTTCATAAATATACATTCATTTAAAAAAAAATATTAACCACTTTTCCGATTTTTTTTTTCAATTCATTAGTTTTATGTATAGTTTTCATTCTTTATTTTTATATTCCTTGGTTATCTGCTCAAAAATACCTGCTGCTGCACCTCTACTCACGAAGACCCCTGGTTAGTTATGTTTAGGAGACCCTTAGCCTCAAAGAAGAAAATAACGATCGTTCGATATTATGTATGCAAATAGCATTACTCAATTAATAACACACCGAGGAAAATCACGAGCATTGCAGGTCGACAACACTAGACGGGAAATAGAAAGGGTAAATAACTATGAAGGAAAATGGAAAATCCAAACCAGTATTCCCAAATTCACATTGATACACATATGTTGAAGAGAAATCCATCCATTAGTAATCAATAATACCCACTTGAACTACGAAGGTAGAGGCGCCCTTCTGGACCTGAATATATCCATGACAGGCTACTCACATCATGTCCACACCAGGAAGGAAAAGGCAAAAAGAAAGCTGAAAAATATACCTCCTCTATGCGCTTTCTGAGAAAATGAAACTTTGCCTGGTTATATCACTTATCATACCGACATTAACTTACCCAGCAGTACCTCTTCATACTATGAGCACCACCCAATTATTAAAATCACAGGTGGTCCAAAACGAAGCCCTCAGATTCGTCACAGGTGAAAAATACCCCTTCACCAGAGCCACAGCCGAGATACGACATAGAAAGCCTGAGAATAAGACCCATCAACCAGCATCTCCACACCCTGGTCACGATGACCTACTACAAAGACTCCCACCAGACAATGACAGCAACCATATATGGCTCCCAAAACGTTACCAAACTTCAAGAAGTCCATTACCATCCCTGATCTATACGGACAGGCAATAGACAACTTCCCCGACCAGCATCTGCCAGTAAGGTTGGCAGAATATGAAACATGACTTGGCTTGTTTGGGGATTATTAGCCACTTTGCCTTTCGGCTATTTCAATTGGAGCTGTTGTCTTCTTTCTTTGTTCTTCTTCTGGGTCATTCCTGATTTTTTTTTCGTTCTTGGTCATCATTCTTGTGCTATATTACTCTGATGGTCTAAATACTCTGATGGTCTTATTTCTTGATGTTGTTGTTATGGTTTTGGGATGAAAAATAATATGAATGGGTGATATGATGATGAATCAATGACAGTCCAGATCGAATGCCCAGTCAGGTGACAAGTTTCTGTGTCATTTTTCTTTTTGGTGATGGTGTAGCCCGTGTCTTGTGGTTTGCATGGTGTTGTTAGTTGTCAGTTTTACTTTGCATATGTGCGTGTTGTATGTAATGGAAATGTCTGTGATATGTGTCTTGTTTTGCATGTTTTCCATTTCGTTATTTACTTTTATTTATTTATTTATTTTTAATATATTTAGGTCTTATACATACATATTATGAAAAACCCATCTTGCGTGTATCATTTACATCATGCCGATAAGACGGGACTCCTCGAGGAAGAGTATTACAGCATAACTTATGAAGACAACATCTTGTAATAGGCTGGGTGCAGTCAGCACGAAGCCTCGCCTGGTCGCTAGCGTTCTGGTTCGTACTGGCTGCACTCTATAAAAATGTGTTTAATGGACATAATTGTATTGCAAATGGCAAGTTATCTGTGTGAGGTTTTAGGTGGGTCATAGAGATGCATTTTAACCTTATGTATGTGTTCTGTATGTGCTCTGCATTTGTGCTGAGGGTCAGTTTCCGATGTTAATCTTGCAGTTGTTGCGATGATTTAAACTGGTCCACTCCAGCTGTCACTTGCTTGTTGCATGTGTCCTCCCCAAGGAGAGACACGATTGCCGTTCCCAGGGTACATTGGTTGTCTCCCCGAGACCCACCATCCTTTTGATAGTTGTCTGCCTGTTCATTGCCCGAATGTTGCAGTTCCCAGGCACCTATGTCAACATAATGTTCTTGGCACACGCATGTAGTAATAATGTTTCCCTTTACCTCATTGCTGGTAGTGATACAAATTTGAATTGCTTTAAGAGCTGACATAGAGTCTGAAATGAAGCAATATCATTGACATCGCTTATTATTGCAACGTCAATGGCTTATTTATTGCAAACAATTCTGCAGTGAATATGGCTGTATGCCGCGGCAGGCGGGAACCTTACTTCCCATCACTGCTCCAGATACCGGCCCCAACGCTGTCGATCAGTCCTGGACCCGTCTGTTTACAAGTGAGTAAAGGCGCTTTATCCCTCTATAAATTGACAGAAAAGTTGTTTTAGGAGCCCGGGATGTAGACCCTTTTTCCGCCTGGAGGCCACGATGTCTCCACAACGGTGGGACATATCTATCAACATTTTCTTAACGGATACCAGAGCCCTGGCACAAGGTCTGGAGGCGGACGGCCGAGTCATGGGACCTACACCTTTGGTGTAATGGTCAGCATCCTCGCCTTGCAAGCGAGCGGACCCGAGTTCGATCCTCGGGCAGGGTGAAACTATGGGCAAGTTTCTTTACGCCATTTGCCTCTCTCTACCCAACAATAATTGGGAACCTGGTTGTTAATCGATTTGCGGATCGTATTCTGGGGTAATGGTTAGCCAGTGCAGTTGGCGAGTTGTCCAGTCTTCTCGGATTAATCCTTGATACTGGGTCATGCAGCTCGTTATCTTGTGGTGTGCTTGTTGTGTTGCCGACAGCTTCTACACCTTAACAAATTCACGCCTAGGAGGCCCCTGGGCCGGCCATCCTCGATTTCGAGGGGCTTCCATTATTGCGTAGATGCAGGTAGCGGGGCTAGCGACAGCACACCAACCTGTGTCACGCCTCCTAGCCACAGTCAGCCCGTACCTTAGCGTCAACATATCCCTCCTGATGTGGAGTGGGGGAACATGAGCCTCTACATCCAGTATTTTTATACGTGTACAGCTGTAGGCACCCAAACATAGACGAATGCATCGGTTCTGTATTTTGGTCAGCTTTGCGAGTGTGATGTCGCGTGCCGATGCATACAGCTGACATCCATAGTCGAGTTTCAATCTGATCAGGGTCTTATACACCATTAATAAAGATTTCCTATCGGTTCCCCATGTAGTACCTGATAAATCTTTCTGTATGTGTGTGATTTTTAAGCATCTACTTTTAAGGTCGTTAATGTGGGTTTCCCACGTTAATTTTCGGTCAAAATGAATACTGAGAAACTTATTGAGGTCTTAATTTTAAAATGTGTATCATTTAATTTCAATAATTGATTAATTATTTGCGTTATGTTTCTTGGTGAAGACCACTCCTACTGTCTTCTCAACTGCATCCTTTGTGCAGACCATCTATCGACCTGAGAGGAGCGCCAATTTGCGCAATCGTCGGCAAACAATGATAATTCAAGGTTATTTAGGCTGGGTGCTGGTGAAAGGAAATCATTAAGCATTATGAGAAATAGTACAGGACCCAAGACGCTGCCTTGTGGGACTCCGTTTTCTTGGACAAATGTGTCCGACATTACGTTATTTTTTAATTTGACGGAAAAAGTTCTGTCCTGCAAAAAAATTCTAATGAAAACGGATAAATTACCTCTTAGAACTATGGCTTGGAGCTTCATCATGAGGCCAGTTCGCCATGTCATGTCGTAGGCTTTCTTAGTGTCTAAGAATACTGCAATAAATGTTTCTTTATTGCACAGGGCCTTTGAAATGTCTGTTTCAAAACTTATTAAGTGATCTAATGTGCAACTACCTTGGCGGAAACCACTCTGTAGGTAATTCAATAAGTTATTATTTTCCCTCAAAATACAGTAGCCTACGTTTCATCATACGTTTCATGATCTTACACAGAGAATTTGAAAGCACAATCGAATGGAACGAGTTGGTGTTCGTTGGGCATCTATCCCTCTTGTGGATCGATACGACATGGACAAAGTGCCATGAGTTTGGAAACGTTCTGGACGTCCCAAACTCATTGAACACTTCTAGCAACTTGTCCGGATTTCCCTGGTCAAGGTGTTTAATCATCTCGTATCGAATACCGCCGGGTTCAGGAGTAGAACACTTGGCCTTTCTCAAAGCTAAGAATAATTCATTTGGAGAAAACGCTCGACTGTAGTTGTGTTTGTCCCCGTTTTCGAAATCGAGATGCCCGAGCTTGGCATGATCACGGTTCGTGCCGAAGCGTGGATCCCGATTTGTGGAGCTACTGGCAT